CCCCCCCCTCCACATCAAACCATGACAATCCGTTACAGATATTTGTCACTTTTTGCTGGAAGACAGGGACCAAAAGATTTAAGTTCCTTCTGATGAAGATGACAAATCAGAAAAAACAATCACATATGGAAACATTTCACATGTCCTGCAATTTTAGAGTTGTCTCTATTTTCTTCCATATTCTTATTATTTCTTTTCAAAGTGTATTCCATCAGTAAACTGTCTTCAATACATAATCCAGTGTTTTCTTTCACCATTTTTAGGTCTATAGGGAATCATCTCTGTCAAAAGCTTGATTACACATTTATTCTCTATGTATCTGTCTTCCATTGTTCCCTTAAGACTTCCTGCTCAATATTTGGGAATTGTGTGAATAACCTTTTCTTGGGCAAAATGCAATCTGGCAAAGCCACTCTTTAAAACACTGGTCTACTCCTTAGCATCTAAGAAGGGTAGTAACACTTGCTTTAATATGAGGATTGACAAAAATAGAATTATCAGAATTCAGTCCCCCACTTTTCTTCCAAACGGATCACAAATATTTACAAATTTAACTTTATTTTGCAAAGCTATACAGAGTAATTATTTTATGTATTATTCTCACTTTACACAGATGTGGAATGTAACATTTAATCATAGAATGGTTTGGGTTGGAAGGGACCTTAAAGATCATCTAGTTCCAATCCCCCTGCCATGGGCAGGGACACCTTCCACCAGATCAGGTTGCTGAAAGCCTTACCCAACCTGGCCTTGAACACCTCCAGGAATGGGGCATCCATAACTTCTCTGGGTAACCTGTTCCAGTGCCTCACCACCCTCAGAGTGAAGAATTTCTTCCTTAGATCTCATTGAAATCTACTCACTTTCAGTTTAAAGCCCTTGCCCCTTGTCCTATCACTACACGTCATTGTAAAAAGTCCCTCTCTGGATTTGTTGTAGGCTCCCTTTAAATACCCTTTAGATATTTAAGTTTGTAATGAGATGAAAGCATGGCATTAATATGCCCACCTTTATAAATTTACGAACAAAAATAATTGTCTTGTTTGTCTCACTGTAAAACAGCACTTGAAACATACTTTGTCAAATTATGGATTTTCTGTGCTAACTCCCAAAAACCCCACTGCTATGTAGAGGTCTGAACTTAATCTGATTGATTTTAATTTAAATCAGTCCATAGAAATTGTGGGTCTGGCTGGAAATCTAAATCAATAAGGCCTTATGAAATTCTAGCCAAGTACTAACCTGATCAAGTACTGGTTACCTTGACAGACTTGACAGGAACACAGTCCAAACCAGCATGGCATAGTAATTTTATAAATTTAAATAGCAAAGTATCGAGTTCAATCAGAGCAAATTCAGATACGTCAGTGCTATCCACTACAAATACAGTTTTCAGAGAAACACAACTGACTAATAGTTTCATTGTTTTTATAAGCACCTATAATTTTCCAGAACATTAAAACTGGAAAGTGGAAAATGAAGCCCAACTGGTATACTTTGTTCAGAAAGGGATCTTTTCAAACGGTATGTTTTGATACATAGTGACTAATCTAATACAACTTGTGAAAACAACGGCCTTTTTAGAGCTGAAATAATTAGAAACAGTAAGTTCAAGAAAATATTGCAAATGTTCTTACGTACAGTCAGCTCAACAATTACAAATGGCATCTCTTCATGTTTTAGACATCTATTTTAATAACAAAGTACTTCAAGCACACTGAACATGTATTTGGACTGTTTTACAGGTTTCTTCAGACCTTGCTCACAGCATAAAGGAGTTGAGACTTTCTTTACATATGGTTTCAGTATTCAGAAAGAATATTCTGAGAACAAGTCTCAAGCAAAAAAATTATCTTCTTTGCATTGACAAGTCACTGAGATTTCTGACGTCCACTGTTAATGCATTTGGTGAAAAGCTGGTAATGGAAACATTGTATGGAAAAAAAAAATCATAGTTGTCTATTTAATAACAACTTTATCAAAGGAGAATAAGTCACTAAGACACTGTGAGGTCTTAATTTATGTCTAAACACAAACTCTTTTATGTATAAACACACCCAAATATCGGATAAAAAGTTTATAATTACAATCAGTAAGAATCCTTAAAGAGACCATAATTTGGTGGTATCTTCCCAAGCCTTTCCCAAGGTTTGATTTAAATCAAGCCAACTCAATTAATTCTGGCAATGCAGTTTTACCTAGGCCTCCTTTAGGTTCCTCTTGTTTTAAAGAAATGGAAAATTATGTGATCTCCCTCTTATTGTTCCCACTTAAAGAAGGAAGAGTACTGAGCTTCATCTCATTTAACTGTATGTAGTTCTTGAAAATAACGCATCCAGCCTTAGTCTATCATTTGGAAGCTGTTTATATATAAAGACCAAGGCACATCCATGGAGTTATTTATACACCTGTTGTAGGTGGCTAGATGAAGGTAATCTAGGGAGTTACAGAATGCACTGTATCACTTTCCTTCCTATGTTAGTGTGCAACAAGGGACATGATAATGTTTTATGACACAAAATTAAAACCATATTGATCTATCCACAGCTATAAAATGTTCAAAAGCTCTTCTGAAATAATGTGAAATGTGCACTTGTGAGTAGATCCACTGTCTTTTTGCTATTGACATGAATTTCACATGCAAAAAATGTGCACTTGTGAGTAGATCCACTTTTTGCTATTGACATGAATTTCACATGCAATACTTTGAAGTATTTTTACATTAAACCCTTACTATACTTTCTGCATATAAGCAGTAAATACATTCAATTAACTGTAAAAATTCTAATCATTCTTTAAAAGCAAGGCAGATTTTACCTGAAAATATAAAGAAGATTTCATTCTGTAGACCTCCTCTCTGCATTTTTACATGATGGCATTCTGACTTAATTAATGTAACCTCACAAGAAAGTTTGGCAACAAGTTTGCTTAGTATCTGAAGCAATGCTTTCTCAAAGGAAGTGTTACGACAACTGTTGCAGGGGACTGTGTGATACCAGGCTGTGAACTCACAGTAATTTTTAGGATCAGAATAAGCTGCAAGAAAAAATGTGGAAGATGATGAGGAACGTATGTGAAGTAAAAAGAAGTAATTTGTGGATTTGAAAATAAAATTGCCAATTTAAATCCTTAATTTATAAACAAAACCTATTTTGTACCCCTAGGGAGTTTTTAATGATAAAATAGTGTATGCTGTGCCAGTTGAAAATACATAAGAGATTTTTACAAGTCAACAATCTTAGTCTTACTCTTTATTATTGTGATTTTTTTAAATTTTAAACCAACGGGAGATTGCCGTAAAGGGATCAGGAATACGAACACTAAGGTTAAGAAGCATACAAAGTACCCTTTCGTATGTGGCACAACATCTCACACATTATGGCCAGCTATGGTAGTATGTTACATAATTTTTAGTCAACGATCACGAAAGTATTTTAAAGGGCTTAAAACCTGAATCCTGTTCCCCAGAGATCAATAGAAGACGAAGTAATAAGATGAACAGGAATTCCATCTCTGTGAGCAGAAGTAACTGAAAAAGCTTCCATATAGGTATGAAATTTCCTTTTATGATGGATCAGCTATTTCACCTTTACTGCAAAGCTGAATGCACACCTGGGCGTCTTTTACATATAAGCCAATGTACCATAAAATTTATATTTCTAGTTATTTCATGATAACCACCCTACTTACCCAAAGCTGAAGGTCAACAGAGCACAATGTTAAAGAGAAAATAGCAGTAAAAGAATGAAGAACAGGGGTCATGCTGTGGGTATAATCACAGAAATGAGAAGAGGCGGTGGGAAGGAAAGAATGAAGGAATAGAAACCAAACCAGCTGAAAGAAGCAGCAGAACATCCAAAATATGGTACCCAATTTAAGACAGCTCATTAGATCCTCTACCCTGCTTTTGCCTGCCCCATTTCCTTTCCCTTGCTGCTGCATATTCCAGACTTTTTAATATGTATGTATGTATGAAACTTGAATTTTGTATGCTAACATTCAGATTTGATACTTATTGAAGGATGTAAATCTGCATTACTGAAAACTCTAACCTTTTCCATCAAAACTGCTTCAAATAAACTTCTTCCTTTCCAGTTCTGTCAAGCAAGCTAGCTGCAATAGGAGCTCTTGCCTACAATTCCACAAGAATAAAATATCCTTTAAAGAAGAAAAGGAGAGTTAGTAATGAATAAATGACATTGGCTTTACGATCTTTCACTTTATCAAAGACCTTTCACCAGCTGACAGAAAGAAAGGTAATCAAGAACAGGAAAGAATAAGCTACAAATATTACATCATTAAATGATATGTAGTTAAAAAGCACAATGAGGAAATAATTAAGCATTACCATGTGTGAAGTAAATCCATATGGCTGTGCTAAAATTAATCTAACAAAGAATAACTCCATTTAAAATTATAGTATTTTAATGTTATTAAGGATTATTGCCTATTCTATTTGTTACATTTCATTTCATTATGTTTTATGTTCCTTTTTTTAAAAAGAACTGTATTCACAAGTTTCTCAGTCAGCCACTGAGCTTCATTTAAGGCCCTGTAAATGGCATTAAATGAATTGCCTGGTAGTTACTAATACTAAAAACAATTTTCCTGAGAAACAGAATGTCTTTATCTCTGCAAATTAAATTCTAAGCAGGCCTACTTTTTTAAAAAATAGCAATACATATTTTAAAAAATAAAACTTTTTCAAGGCAAGAACACACTTACCTGGATTGATAACTTACCATAAATAAGATATTTTATTACAAGTTTTCTATCAGGTTGCGTTGCCGTTAGCTTATAAACAATGGAACAAGTGTAAAATCCAGTCAGGTTGAAGTGTCTCAATGTTAAAGTGCCTGTTGGTGATATTTGCACACTGCTATTTTCTAGTAAACACAATAATGAAATAAATTTAGTTGTCATCATGGGAAAATGCAGAAAGTAAGGGTCCAAATGGTTATCTACTGTTAGCCCATGCACAAAATAATAATATTAGGGATTCAGCTGAAGCCACAGGACTCAGAAACTGAAGCTGAGTGGGTGTCACTCAGTTCAGCATTACACAAATACGCCTTATTGCTGCTGTGTTTTTAAGTATTGGTTGACAAAGCAGTCCTAGAAAACTGTTTTTATTTGATCTCAGACATCTATCGTTCTCTCCAATTACCACTTTAAGGACCAAAAAACTCCCAGAAAAAAGGATAAAGTGAGCAATCTCTTTTTATTCCTCTATATAGTCAGTCTTAATTTGTCAGTTCTTTTTGTTACAGAACTATAGTATACACTTTTTTTCAGTCCTGTGAAAGGAAAGTCACAATCTTCCAACATAAATATTCCTTCTATGCATATATTAGGTGGCAATACGTATGAAAAGCAGTGACTTTCCTGTAAATCCAAATTCCTAGGTTCATTTTCACCAAACGAGAACAGACCTATTCCAATGTTTGCATTTGGAAATAAAGATAGAAATGCTTTTTCTTTTCTGTTCTATTTAGCTGTTCAGAACACCATCAAAAATGCTGTTTTATGCAGTAAAACTTTGAGATCCAGAACATAAGAAGCAATTATTTTGAAGTTTTTTTCATCTTAAAGTACATTCTGAAAACCTCTTTTTCTCAACTGGCCCAACAGCTGTTTAAACAAAGTACCATTTCCAGATCTTGGTACAAAAGAGTCACGATGGTAAGTGAAGAAAAATGACTCCCTAATTTTAAAGTTGTAATGATTTTAAATTACATTTTTGTGGAGTATTTAATTTTTCATTACTCTCTCAACTGCACATAAGTGGACAGGAACTATCTGTGAACAAAGCTGCTTGTTCAAGAAACAGAACTTTTTTAATGGCTACAGAAAGAAAAGTGTTTACTGCTCTCTGTGAGCTTTTACTGTAGTCATGATGTTTGCTAGACAGACTTTTGGGGCACAGAACACCTTCTTAGGGTGTGTGCCAAGGGCTGGTGTGCCTGAAAGAGCATCTGATTTTTCTAACTATGACAGATAGTACAATGAAAGATAGTCTCTCTTCTACAGATTTTATGCTTAAATAATTGCATTTATTTTGAAGCATTCAAAGAAGCAATATTTTATTAGTCTTTCCTAAAACTCAATTCACAATTCTACAGTTCCACTGAAAGGACTCTTCTTTCCTACAGTCACACTGAACAAGCATGGAATAATGTATCAAGCAAGGTTTATGAATCTTAACTTCCCACTGTTATGGAGTATCACTATGATAGGTATTAGAAGACTAACTTCTCACACCAAAACCCAGATAATTTTTATGACTTTGAGAGGATTACATTCATTCTAAAAGGAGGCCAAGTAATCAAATTCTTTTACATAGCAAACTTTTCATGAGCTAGAAACTTTAAATAGCTTTTTGGCTGTTTATACTTTCTTTGAGGCAAAAAAAAAAAAAAAAAATTGAATATGACAACAGCCCTAGGAGACTAAGAAGTATCTTTGTGGTATTTACCCAAAATTGTGGTGGCTGAAGCTGAAGTCCTCTCATTACTGCTTTTTTTAAATATTTTTTCTAAAACCTCTCTCATCCCTATGTCAGGAAAACAGAAGTTTTCTTCTCCTACTTAAATGGTTTTTGCCAGCCTGCTGCTGATTCTAATACACCTGAAGTTGCCACAGAGCCAAGAACTCCTGCCACCATAGCTTTTTAGCTAGTGAACCAAGGTTGGCATAGCAACTTGGGATACTACTGAAGCAATCTGCCTGAAAAGGTTTAAACCTGTCAACTGGAAGAAGTCTGATGTCTCCATGGTCTTCTGTTCTACACTGTTGAAACTGCAGTTTGAGTAAACAGAAGCCAGAGGAGTGAAATGGACAATTTTTGTCAGGAGGTTGTCTTCTGTCTGATCAGATTAAGCTCACTATTTAAACACATGACAATATACCTGATACTATGTCTGTCAAGCGTCACAGACTGGGCATCAAAATGTATCAGTTACAATGCAGGACACTCAGCTAACCAGAATATATCCATCCCAAGGGAGATAAGCAGTTTCACGTAAAACAACATAGCCCACAGGCTTAAGTACAAGCAAAACCACCTGTATCACTTTGGGGCAATGAATGCTAAAAATTCTGAGGGTGAAGTCTGTTATCAGATTCAGAGCAAAAGCACAGTGTAGCATTAGATATCATATAAATGTGAAATGCTCTACTGCGAAGGCTGGCATGTAGAGGATTAAGAATGAAGAATCGCTATGGTGTAAACAGCATTTCAGATTGTGTAACAGGAAAATGTAAGACCAAGGACAGAGTTCTGATAGACACTAGTACAGACTAAGAAGAAAGCAAACAGGATTTGGAAACACTGCCATTGTAAAAAGGTGAATAGTTCATAACCTAAGTTGTAAACTAAAATAAGAGATTAAACAGGTTTATAAATTCATCACAATGCTTATTATTCTTTTTAAAAATGAAATTACAACAAAAGTTAAATGAGACATACATGGAAAGAAACAAAAACCAGAACTCGGGTTCCCTGCACAGGCTTGGAAAGATATTGCTGATGAACCAGTCATGATCTCTAAGCAATCTTTATTCTGTGACAAAAATAACGTGTACAAGTAGCCTAACGTACTCCATGCAGAAACAATGATTTGGGGTTTTCATGCCGTACTAGCAGATTAGGACCATGATTTCATTAGAGACATCTTTCTGAAAAAGAATGTTTAAATTCTCCATCAGCAGATTAACCAGAAGTTGAAACTGGCAAGGGATGTGAAGGGCCAACAGAAACACATGCAATTGAGGAAGGACAATAAAAATGTTGGCTCCAGGCTAAACGAGGCTGAATGACCTAGTGACAAATGACACGGAAAACACTGAGGTACACCTTTGTTTCATTCATTCCTAGCAAGGACTGCTTTCCAGCCCTGCCTCAGGCTCTACCAGATTTTAGGGGAGATGCTGCAGGGAGACAGAAGTGTGGTGTTAGGGACCTACTTAAATGAGCTGGACATATACAAGTTTATAGACCAGAATTAGATGTATCTGAGGATGCTGAGTAAGCTAATTAATGACTGTTGTGTGTTTTGATGGTGATACGGTCCCTAATGACCAGAAAGACCCAAAAAACACATCCATCATAAAAGTAGCCAAGAAGATCCAGGGAGTCACAGTTCAGCCATCCTCACTTCAGGCCCTGCTAAGATGACAGAACTACTGGACATCATTTCCAGATGCTTGAATGACAAGGCAGTGATTGAGTACAGGCAGCATCAATTTGCCATTGGCAAATCATGGCTGACCAGCCTGAGTGCCTTCTGGAATTAATTGACTGCCTAGATGTCATATACACTGAAAGCCTTTAGCAAGGATTTCCATATGGTCCTCCATCACATCCCTGTAGCCCAACTATGGACATACGGACTAGATGAGTAGAATGCAAGACGGATGAAAAACTGTCTGCATCATCATTTTGAAGATAGCTCTGCCTAGCAGCCAGTTGTGAAGGGCTTTCCTCAGGGCTAATAAAAAGCACCAGAACTGCTTAACATCTTTATGGTGACCTACACCACAGGACTGAATGCCTTCTTGTCCAGCATGCAAAAGACATCCAATTGGGGGGTGGGGAAGTGAGCTGGGGCTGATACACTACAGGACATTGCTGCCATTCAGTAGGACCTTGCACGACTAGAGAGACAGTCTGCCTAAAACCTCATGAAGTTCAATAGTGACAAACACAAAGCCCTGCACCTGGGACAGAATAAGAGCAGCAATGGATGCTGCTGTGGAACAGATAACTGAGGAGCAGCCCTGCAAAAAAGTACCTGGGAGCCCTGGTGGATTTTAAACTGAGTATGAATCAGGAGCATGCTTTTGCAGCAGTGAAGGCCGAGTACTGGGCTGCATTAGCAACAGTATATCCAGCAGGGCAAACAAAGCGGTTCTTCTCTCCCTACTCAGCACTCCTTTGGGTACTCTGGAAGACCCTGCCCAGTTTTGACTCGTCAGTACAAGACAGATACTAACAAACTGGAGCAAGTCAACAAGGTTTCTGAGAGGATTAGGGAGTTGGAGCATAGGACAAGAGGCAAAGAAAACTAGGATTTTTACCCTAGAAAAGCCTGAGGAGGGAATTGCAGTCCTTCACTACCTAAGGGGAGATACAGGAAAGAGTTTTAAGAGGTGCACCACAAAAGGACCAGCAGCAATGATGACAAGTTGCAATAGGGGGAATTATGATTGCAAATAAGAAAACAAAAAAAAAAAAAAAAGAGGAACAGGTTGCACAGAAAAGACAGAAAATCTCCAAGGATAGAGATTTCCCAAACTCAAGTGGTCAGGCCCTGAGCCACTTCATATCTGAAGGTAGCCTGTCACTGAGCAGGCAGTTGGGCTAAATCACTCTGCCCATCATCCTATTATTCTGTCCTTGCGGAATGCTCCCAGCTGTCTCTCAGCACAGCAAAGAATGTCATCCTCAGCCTCTGTTGCATCCAACATGCCCTGCTCCATCTAGCATTCTTTAGAGACGGCACCATTCTCTACAGAGACCTGCAAATATGTTTTAGTTTGGTATCCTACCCATTTCTTTCTGAAAAGTGAAAGTTAATTTATATGATATACATACAAACACAATGTATCCTCAGTTACTCCTCTATTTACTTTCCCACTTTTATAACCCTGGTGCTTTCAGGGGAGCAGGGGAGAAGGGGAGAGGGTGCAGGGAGACATGTCAGAAAATAAACCCTTACTTGAAGAAAGACTGCCACCTGGTCCATTCCACTGGAATACTGGATCAATCAGTTGTAAGTTTCACAGATGATTTGTCAGATGACGAATACGTGAACTGTTGTGATTCAGCTTGACGTAAACTTTGACTGAAAAAAATTATCATTAGCATCAAATATTTATCAATGGTATCCTTACAGTGAGCTATATAAATGTCAAGATAGTGGTTCAACGATGATCTTGAATGGAGTTCTAATTTTGGGACTGGTTCTGTTACCTCCACCATCAAAACGAAATACCGAATAGACAGCAAGTTTGCTTTCTCCAAAGAACAGAATTAAGAGAATTCTTTCTAGTTCTAGGCTTTTCTGGTTGCGTAAACAAGAACCACAGTGCACTGCAACATCCTCCTGACTTAGTTGGTTCAAAAGTACAGGCTTCTGAAGCGTTCTGCCTCAACTGGTGTCCAACATACACATGGAAAGAGGGAAGTTGCAGTATGTTGGCCCGGCATACTCAGACCTGAAAGCTTGCTGTTTCCATTGAATAGCAATTGCCTTTTACCAGTGCACAATGTATTTGCTTAAAAAGGGTTTAGTGTTACAGCTCACTAAATGGTGAGCTGCCTATTGTTTAATTCAGACAAAATGAGATAGGAAGCAAACTAAGGCAAGGATTTACTTAGTCTTTTCCCACAGTAAAGCAGGTGTGCAAGTCTTGTATGCAGTTTGTAGCATACAGATGCTTCTAGATCTTCAATTTTTTCTACAAACAACAATTGGTGTAGTCATTATCACTTCCATAATATGCAGGATTTCAGTGTGTACAATTTGTTTCATTTTCCTTCCCACTGACATTCTGCAAACCATTTGTCCTCATCAGAAGTATGGGATGCCAGATATTTATGCACTAGTGAGGTCTAAACTTGAATATACCATGCTCTGTATCAGGCTACCCTAATGCCACTGAAAAGCTAGAACTAGTATAAAACATTACAGCTACTACAACATTTGTGATTTGGATAATCAGACTAATAATTGAAACTGAATCAAATAAACAAATTGACATAATGCTATCTTACCATTTACTATTTCAGATTCCTTGCAAGTGGAAAACAGTTTAAGTATTTGATGCAGGAAAGGATTAATGCTCAGAAAATTTTTTACTTTTCCATTATGGCAACTGGCAGTAATGCCACCACAGTTTTCTCTCCTGTCCAAGTATGATTGTTCACTTTATTAAAAAATGAAAAGCCACTTACATTCGTATTACAGTCTTAAGTTATTTAAATGGAATAAAGACTTAGATATCACATTTAATACATAAGAATAACTTCAGAATTTTGATAATCTTAAGATCAGTAGGTATGTTCATTCCAGCTAATAAACAGTCTTTTACTGTAGCTTATACTGCACAAAACAGCAAAGTATATATTTTCAATTGTGTAATAGTATATAAAGGAAAAAATGTCATTTACAGATGGTGTTTCAGTTTTTAACTCTGAAGCATGAAAATTAATATGTATTCTACATGTTAATGCAGAATTGTCATTATGATTAGTCTTTTTCCATTGCAAATTCTTAATATTTTTTTTCAAAATTTACTAACCAACTGGCTTTAGTAGTAGTATATTGGGGCAAAATTGTATACATTGCATATCTCTCCCACTTCACATTTTCGGTTTTATTTCCTCAAGGTCGCTTTGTTCTGTCTTACAGCAATATGAAAAAAAAAATATATCTATAATAAAAAGTAACAAAATTATGATGTCATTATTGTCATAACCTGCCAAGATGGTAAATTCTGTCCCACCACTTTAAATTTCCATGACAGTTTTGTAAGCATGTATCATAGGGTACAGAAGGGCATCTGATGAAATATAATGGCTGAAAAAATATCTACCAGGTATAACCTTATTCTTCTTGAATTCAAAATAAAGTCTTACTCTTTTAATTAAAGTTCTTTGCTATTTTTCTTATTTGTTCATATTCTATCCATGATAAAAATATTTACTTTGGATAGTGATCCAAAAAAAAGAACATTTATGTCAGGTATTTTAAAACTGTAGGATTTCAAAAGTGAAGAGTTGTATTTAGTCAAATTTTGGTGAAAAAAAAAACCAACTCAAAATAGAGATTTTTTTCCAGCATCTCAAAAGAGCACTGGAGCCAAATCTAGTTTACTCACAATGGTCTGTCTCAGAGAAGGTAGAAACGTTCTTTATTAGTAGTAAATTGTTTAGAAACAGAGTTGGGATAAAACATTTTAATGTTGCCTTCTAACTTTCAAATTGCCCTGTTCCATTCAAGTAATAGCCATGCTTACAGACATGAGTCAGAATCAGAAGAGAGAAAAAGTACACTAATAGGACAAACCTTTAGACCACTCAGAGCTATTATTTAACATTAAATAAGGTTGTAAGATAAACTACTAAGAGAAACCTTTAAAAACAAATGATTTCCTGGAATTGTTTTACATTTGGACAAAAATTGTTACGTCCTTTTTTTTTGTACCAAAAAAAAAGATCAAGAAATTCAAGAAATATTGTCTTTTAGCTTTCTCCCAAACAATAGAAGTATCGCTTCTAGATATGCTGTGAGTAAAGTTGTTACTGGAAAGCACAAACGGAGAAAATTATAGGGAAGAGTATTACCAAAACCAAGCCAGCAATGTGCATTTAGAGAAAAAGCAATGAGAGTAAATACATCACAATGAGGAACAGCCTGGTCTTTAATTGAATTTTCAGGTTCTGTGTACATAACAAGTAAGATGAAGTTGAAATACCTACAGTGGAAGAAAGCAATGTTTCGGAGCAATAGTCCTACAGCCAGGTGGAAGAATACAGAACATTGCTATTGTTATAACAATTACACAAAATATTTATCTTGGTTTCATAAAAATTATGAGAAAGAATAAAAAAACAATATAAAAAATAAATTCCAGTGACAGAAATACATTCTGTGGGATGGCCTATTAAGTATACATAAGTCAGCAGAGAATTGTAATTGATTAAATCACTTATTCTGTAGGATGGCCTATTAAGTATACATGTCAGCAGAGAATTGTAATTGATTAAATCACTTAAAACAATTCAACAACAACAGATATGATAAAAAAGAGCCTTTTGTTGGTAGAAATAGTAACTTCACTAAAGTTTGTTACATTATGTTTGAAGAAAAATACCTGGAAATACGACAGATCCCACTATTCTTAAGCTATTGTGTCTTGGCTCTGCACTTCTTAAAAATCTCTTTGGGGGTTGAACTGTTAAAAGATAAAACAACTGAATTAATACAACTATTTAATTAATCTGAAAAAGCAAGCAGCATACTTCAGCTTAGCCTACACTCTTTAATAGACTTGTTCTTCACTGGATATCAAGTTAATATCTGCCTAATATCTTATACAACGTATGACTCTCATTAAGGCAACAAAAAACAATGGCAAAGGGCTGATATCAGAAAAAGCATCCTTATTCTCAACAGCACTTAAATTTAGATTTAGTTTTAAATATATTCATGTTTTACAAAAGAACTCTCACATTTTAAGTTAAGATTGTCCATAATGTGGAAAATGGGGATAGGCACTGTCCAAATTGAGAACAAATTTAGCTGCATTGTTATGATAACTTCAGCTGGGATGTCAATCAATGTGTACAATGACCATTAATGATGTAATGAACTTGGGTACTGTCATGATTGTGATTTTCTTAATTTCCCATGAAATGAAATAGAAGGTATTTTATGGCTATTTTAATTCACATTCCTTCTATTTTAAATAGAAATTAAAAACATGTTCATATAGATTGCAAAGCTTTGCAAGGCATACAAGGTTTCTGAAAGAAAACTGAAGTATCTTTCAGGTGGACATTCTAGTAAAAGTCAGATCTGAGTTGCTTTTATAGTTTCCAGGGATACAGAACTGAAGCCAGCAGAAAGAGAACAATGGCTATTCGACCACTCGGCATTTTGTGTTCTTTGTCTCCACCTCCTGCTTGGAAAGAAAGTGGGTTGCTGGGAATTAAGGTATGCTTGTGCTTTCTGATTCTTATGGAGAATCTGGGGAAGAAAGCAAATAACAAAGGAATAGAAAGTCTTGAACACAAAAGACAGCAATAAAATACTGAACACGTCATCAGTAGCAATTATGTTCTGAAGGTGGCCTAAAAAATTACGTGGTACCAGATCCGTGCTTGTTGCTAACTTAGGTTCAATATTCAAAAATAAGAGCAACAATAAATACTCTGGTAAACTGGTTATAGATTAAAGCATTTGTTGGGGGCAATGAGAGAGATGGGGTCGAGTACCAGCTTTGTTTTGATTTATCTTGATTTAAGCAATAATGGAAAATTATCCGTTCATCCCATCTATTATACAAATGGTAATTGTACTTCTCTACAATATTATTACGGAAAACAGAAGCAAGGCAAATTCTCCAGCTATCAGGACAAGATATTCAAGGTAAGTTACAAGAACTGCCTGTACTTGTCATTTCAGAATGAAAGCAGAGTATGCCATTGAAACTATTTAGAAAGTAGGAAGAAATAAAACCTTCTTGAGGAAAAAAAAAAAAAGAGAGAAGATAATAAGAGTAGTTTCATATATGATGGATTTCTGTGATTAACAGTTCAATTTCATTGGTAGTATTTCTTCACCATGTATCACTTCCACAACTTTGTCTGAGGAGCAAAATTTGTCAAATAACTTCATTTTCCCCAAAGACCTCCCAGAAGGATTGAAAGGGTTTTCTTGAAAAACAAAATTGATTAGAATTTTCTCACTGGAATATTTGTTAAGTCTTTTAGAATTCTACTGCACTGGCAGAAACAAAACTAATTTTTCACTAAAATTCAGCTGCCAAAAGAACATGATCAGATTCTCCATTGACAAAAATCACCATCTGCTTTGATTTTAACAACAGCTTACTAATTTATAAGAAATTATAAACCCTACCTAAAACCATCCTGTTTTAAAATTCCTTCTGCCACTATTATCTGTCCACATGGCCCATAAATATTTTATGAACTATCAAGTTGATTTATGTATCATAATTGAAAAAGAAAAATATAATCCCCCCCCCAAAAAAAAACCCAAAACATCAATGAGAGAAAAAACAAAATCTACAATTTTACACAGTAAGTATTCAAAGTTTATCAAAAGGCAACTGAACAAATGCATCTAGAAAAGTTAAGTATTGCAAACTGAAAAGGTATGAGCAGACGTACATAAGTTTATGGGATGTTTAGGCACTACTTAATCAATGCAAAAGGAAATTAACACTTTTTACAATAATAACTTAAACCCGAAGATGGAGCTCTTGAACTGTTTATTTAAAGGGAACTAGAAAAAGTGGAAGCAATATAGTTACTGAAGGAAGATAATGTAAAACTTCTGGAATTACTTTCTTGGTATCTTCAATGACATTGCAAGCTAGATTTTGAGGAAGCCAGCCTGAATGCTCTTTCATGTGTATACACGTTTCACTTGCATAGCAGCCATTCCAGTCAGTAAATATTTCTGTCCACATAGGAATCCCAACTTTCATACACTTCCTCTCACTTTCTACACTATCTTTTAAATTTTTTTCAAGGCTTTTTTTCAGATTTCCTTCTTGAATTCCTTTGCTCTCATCCTAATCACTTCGAATTTAAAGGGCACTTCCTGCACCAGTCTCTAGCACAAATGATCTTCACATTCTCATTCTCTATTTTAAGAGTGCATGTGATCAGGTCAGATATGACAGGTCATCAATTCCCACAGAAAGAGTAACGAAAAACAACAAAGGACAAAGGAAATGTTTAGACTGCATTTTAAAGTCATTAAATATATTATTCCATCCAATCCGAACCTGCATTTAACAAGCAGTGGGAAAAACTGTTTCACCTGCTTTTAAGAAAAATAAGTGAGATTTCTGAATTAATTCCCCAAATTAAATTTTTTTAAGCAGCCCGATGCACTAGAAATATATAGGGTCCGACTCCTCATTGTCTTGTAATTCCTACAGGCATAATACAAGGTGTCAGCAACAGGTCCTTTTGCAGAACACAGATGAAGAAAAACAGTTTTACATCACTATCAGACACATGGAAGTTTGGGGTAATTCACTCCCAAGTTCAGGGTGATCCAAACTTCTCAGCTGCCTGAAAAGCCATTCCCGAAGACTGGAATTCAAGGATACCTTTGCCATATAAAGTATCTACGTTAATTGAGGATTCATCAGGCGACTCTAAAATCTGATGGGAGTTAAATTCAACAGTTTTACTACTAATCTTGGCCACCAAAACAGGCCAAAGATCCTGCAGTGAGTTAAATTTAAGTATAAAATGCCAACACCTTGTTTGGTGCATTTAAAATCTACTTGGCAGATGTGTAAATTCTACTCAAACAGAGAGGAATTGAGCTCATGTATTTCTAACGGATTCTGCCTATAGAGGGAGGAGTCTCAATTCAAGATCAGAAGTAGCAGGGGGATTGTACCTGCACAGACAAACAACCCCTCCTGCTCCTTCCTGGTGGAAGGGAGTTACAACAGTGTCAGGTAAAGAGGAATCCCTTCCCACTGCCTGCCCAAAGGAGGAATCTGGGTAGGCTGGTGCTGACCAAATGAGCATTTGTTCCTGTGCCCATTGAGTTCCCTCTGAACAGGAACGCCATTCGTTCACTGAAGTTTCACATCAGTATATTCTACGATTTCATAAAATATTTTATTCTGAATCTTTTAGTCTTAAAATGAGCATTACAGTTGCAAAATTAATCATCTTCACAATAACTCATCAGAAAATTAAATTTGGTCTGAAAATTGCAGTGGCAGGAAGCAGAGTTTAAAATGAGCCTTTTAAACAATCAATTTATTAATAAAATACTGTATTACTAGAATGTTCAATTGGCATAGTTTCAATTCATTTATTTAGAAATGAAAATTATATGAAGCAATAGCAATAGATATATTTAAGTCATAGTAATTGCTAAAAGTTTTTTCAAAGTACTTATGTTTTGAGATAATTTTTGTGAAGAGATTTCTGCACTGAAAGAGTATATAAATAGCAACGTTACTTATTTTTGCTCAATCATGCTAATAGTCAAGTGTTTTCTATATCCAAGTATTTTAATTACAGCTGGCATTTCTAAGCTGCCTATTGATGGTAAGTGCTGTGAAGAAATATTACCATTTCTATTACTAGTAATATGAAAGTCATATGGGAGAAACAGAACTTCAGTTTTTAATCTGTCTCAGTTAAGTTTAACCCTTTTAACAAAAAGCCTGCAAGATATGAACTATATTGTTTTTCAACTAGGCCCTCATATCTCCTTTCTGACAATTACACAACTAACACATTTCATAAGTTTAAGAGATCTTTTTTCCTTATCATATAGCAAGCTAAAGTTAAAAAAGTTGCACGTTTTCAGTAAGATGGAAACTTCCTTCAGATGGCTCAGAAAAGTCAAATGTAATTAAGACATTTCAAGAAACATGGTCCACATCATCACCAAAAAGTTCTTAAAGAAAAACCCATAAGTCAAAACTGTCAGCATTAGCAAACAAAAAAACAGAAAGAAAAAACCTTAAAGAAAAAGGTTCATGTTCTTTCCATCAGTCTGAGCTCAGACTATTTTAATAACACCTCAATGCAATAATATTTAAACAGGTGTCTTTCTCGTAGTTGATGATGTCTATCGTGCCTACTAAAGCCAAAGAGACAAGAAATACTGTGACGTGTCAGTGAATATACACTGAAATACTGCACATGGTTTTCCTTTTTTTAGCAGAGAGTAGAAGAAGAACTTTGACTTCACCTCTGGTCTTGCTCCTGAAAAAGACTTTGTCTTTCTAAAAGAATTGTTGAAACTCCATCATAATCAGATCATGGAATAAGATCTGACACGTATGCTCACTAATGTACAGAGTCTTAGTGTCCTACTACATAACTATTTCTGTACCTCAGAGCATTCAACAAAGCGATGCAGCTCTTTTAGCTGAGTACCAACGTTACCAGCTACTCACAGCCCATGCCACTCACCTGTGGTGTTACACCCCCTCGAGCATGTAGCTTCTTTGGTCCATAGGAAGGAGAAACACCCCTCTCCTCAGCACCCACTGTTCATTTTTGAGAAAAAAAAAAAAAAATTGCTTAGATAATCCCTTGGCCTTTCTGCATCCAACTCCACCTCCACCTGTGGAAAGGAAGTTTAATCCCACTGGTGGATATGGTGGGTGTAGATGGGTAAAACACTGGGAGGCGTAAAACAACACCCACAGGGGAAAGCTGGATGCTAAAGGACACAGCTCCTGTATCATGGAACAGCTCGCCCCTGACAACAACGCCAACTTAAACCTACCAGGCTGCAAAACAGGGTCACATACGCAGTGACCCCCCCCCCCCCGCTTTTGCAGCACGGTGTAAATAAATGCATGAGGGCAAGGAGAAAGGCAGAGGCGGGGAGTGACCTCAGGAAAACCTGTAAAACTCGCACCCGATGCTCCAGGCAAGGACAGCGACGGGAGACACTGAGGTCTG